GTGGAGGATCCAAGTTAAATCGCTACAAGTCCTCACGTCGTGGCTCCTGACAAAATCAAGGAAATTTTCAAGATACCACCAGAACAATCAAAACCAATAACATTAGAGAATGGACACATTGTTGGAAGACTTGCTTAATTTGCAGATATTTGGACCCGAGAATTTGGCAACCATTGGGCTTCTACTTTAGTACACGAGGGTTACAAGCCTATTTGAGAGAAATCACCACCACTAAAAATCCAGGCTATAAAAGATACATCTCAACAAGCAAACAACGATTTATCAGAGACAAAAATCAGAGAAATGTTGGTGCCAAAAAAATCAGGAGAATTGAGGCTAGTAATAGATCTCAGACAACTCAATAGTTTCGTAAAACATTCCACTTTAAAATGGAGGGTATAGAATTAGTAAAGTCACTAGTGCAACAGAACGATTATATGGTTTCAATAAACATAAAAGATCATTCCACCATATCCCTATGCATCCCGATGTACAAAAATATTTTGCCTTCGATTTCAAAGAATAACGATACTGTTTCAAGTGCTTACCTTTTGGACTTTCAACGAGTCCAAGAATCTTTACGAAGATTCTCAAACCCATAATACAGTCAGCACGCACAAAAAGGATCAAATTAGTGGCATATCTGGACGACATTCTACTAATTGCAAAAACCAAGAAAGAAGCAATAATGAACAGTCAAATTAATACAGTTACTCAGATCCCTAGGCTTCACAATAATCATCAAAAAATCATGCCTAAAGCCAAGGCAGTCCATAGAATTCTCGGGATTCATCGTGAATTTGAATCAGATGAATCTATTATTACCCAAAACGAAAGATTACAGAAATAATAAAAGAATGCAAAACAATGTCCACTAAAACGCGAGCCCATATAAGAAAAATAGCATCCATAATTAGAAATATCATGGTGTTACAAATGCCATAACACCAGCACGTCTTTTCTCTCGACAGTTACTGAGAGACAAAGACCAACAATTACGAATTGTGGGATGGAATTCCTTTGTCGACCTATCAGACGGAAGAAAAATACAACTTCAGAATTAGGCAAAACACTTAGCAAGTTGGAATGGCAAAGCCCTAATAAAGGAACAATCAAGAGCAATAATTTATACCGATGCCTCCACAATTGATTGGGGTGCTACAAGAAACGAAAATACAATTCAGGAAAATGGAATGAAAAGAATAAGAAATATCACATCAATATCTTAGAAATAACAGAAATAAAGAAAGTATTGTGGAAATGGACATTCCTTCGAAACCAGTCAATTCTTTTCAGATCCAATTTGATAACGACAGTAGCATATATCAACTATCAGGATGGGACTATATCACCTATCACAAGTCAGATAGCTGAAGAAATTTGAAACTATGCCCGAAAAGAAATAAACTCATTCAGGCCCAACATATTCCCGGTTAAATAAACAAAATAGCGGATGCAGCATCTCGTTCTCATCAAAATCAATTAGAATGAATGATATTGAAAATAACGTTCAACTGAATACAACAAATAACGGGAAAAATTATTCAAGACTTATTGCAATATCTCATGCTCAAACTCAGAGACTCTTCAGTTGGAAATAGGAACCACTGGCAATAGCCATAGACACACTAGCACAGCCGTGGAAAGGTTGAGGACCTATGCCAATCCTCCTTGGAGCTGATTCTCAAAATTCTTGCCAAAGTAAAACGGAAACAGTTGAGGATAGTTCTGATATTTCCATTATGGAATCAGCACTGTGGTTTTCACTTCTTTAATTGCTGATAGATATCCAGTAATTCTCCCCAAGTCAGCAGTAATATACAACAAGCAAATTCCCTTTCGCAATCCAAAATGGAAATTTGCGCAGCACCTATATTCAGAAATCTCTCACAGATCAAGGATTTTCAGAATTAGTTGCGGAGTTGTATGTTGCAGCATGATCCAAGAACATCTAAAAAGAAGTCCGCATCTACAAAAATTATGAAGGGATTATATAACCTTGATCCACCAAAACATAAATCCTTCGAAATTATCGACGTGTTCCCTTTAATGGAGTTTCTTGAATCATTAGGAAACAACGATGAAATGTCTATTATCAGCTATCAAAAAGATTGCCTTTTTAATTTCCCTGACTACAGGAAGTTGATCTTCTGATATTACACAAATTAATCTTTTATCACTAAAAGAGAATAGTGAGGGAATTACATTGGATGCTATCAACCCTAAGGAAGCTAAAATATCAAGATCACATGGGGATCAAAGTCAAATGTCAAGAAAATATTTATAGGAAAATCCACAGAAAATAGGAATTCCTACACAGCATCAACCATTAAAACTTATCTGAACCGTAATGCCAATTGGCGCATATCATCTAATCAACAACTACATTGTTTCTCACTACGACAGATTCACATAGTCCAACATCAGTTGACACGATTGACAGATGTATAAAAGTATGTCTCAAGAGAGTTCAGATGATCTGATAGCTAAAAATGCACGTGTTATTGCTGCCTTTCTGGCACAGAATAATAGAGTAGATAATAAATTGTTGAATGTCTTTGTTGTCTATATATTTTTTTATTATTGTGATAATTGTGTGTGTGATTGCTTCTCTAATGTTGAAATTTAAGGTTTCAGTATTTCAAAAATTGATGTGTTTGAAGTTCAGTAAAAAGTTAATATTTTGTTTTCTTGTTACTGTGTAAGCTGATTTTTTCATTTAAAATTTTGATCATTTGTTATTTGGTATAATGTTTTTATTGTTTACAAGTAAATAAATAATTGGTTAATTCCTTTCCTGCTTGCAAAAGTTACATGTTTCATTTGAATACTGTATATGTTTTTGTATTTTTAGTGTAATTTGATGTGTGAACTTCAAGTTCTACAGTTTTCTTTGAAATTTTTGGTTGTTATAATTAGGGTTCCTAATGGTACCACTTCAATACCTGTTCAATACCAGTTCAATACTTAAATTTATTATAAATTCATATGAATGAGTTACAACCCATATATTAAAATTTACTATAGATTGGTATCAGTGGTACCATTTCAGTACTTTTCAGAGCTTTAGTTATAATCATTAAAATCTGTTATATAGTTTGTAATTTTTGAGATATGAATATTAATGATTAAATATTTTTAGTTGATTTTGTATAGGTATGTGGACAGATATTCATTATGTTGCAATTCAGTAATCTCTATTGAGTAATATATTTGGAGAGTAAACATCTTTTAATTTCTGTTTTGATAAAAACTTCTAATTGAAATGTGTATTAGTTAATAAAATATAAAAAGCTGTTTTTTTATTGTGGTTGACAATACTAATTAGTAATGTGTTTTTAAATATAATGGCTTTTTTGACAAGTTTGTCTGCAGTTTTATTGTATTTCAGTACAGTATATACTTTGATTTTTTGAAGTTAGTTGGATGTTATAGTTTTGATTTATTTGTTGAATAATATTCAGCAGGTAAATATTTTTAAGTTTTTTGATAGTTTTAATTTTGTCTTGTATAATAGATTTGATACTATCAATTGCTGCTTGACTATTTATGAAAATTGTTATTTGTACTTGGGGTGATACTGTAGTTAGTGCTATAAATATTAATATTAATTCTGCTCTTATTGAAGATAAATAATGACTGGTTTTTGCTTGAAAGTTTATATTGTTTGGTATATTGTATATTGTCCAACCAATCCTTATTTATTAATTAATCAAAAAGCAATAAAAATATATTTGAATTTGATATTTAAAACATATTTAATTGTATATAAGAACCAATTTTCAGATTGTTTTAAGTTTTAATGTAATAAACTATAAAATATGTATTTGGTATTGAATTATAGGATATACAGTATATTAATTATAGATTGGAATTGTTGTAATATTATAAGATATGTTGTGTTTTTAAAGTTGAAGTATGCTTGAATGCTTGTAAGTGTTATACATACTCTGTTTCACATTCAAATTATTGCAAAAAATTGTATGGGCTTTTTGACTTTTGTAAACTAGAATGGTAATTGTTTGGTTGATATATCAAGTAACTATATATTGATCTGAAAAGTTGTTTTCATCAATGATACAATATTTGTAGATTTCAAATAAAAAGTTATTAAAAATTAGTTTTGTAGTGTTTGATGGTAATTTTGCCAATATATAATAAGTTTTTCTTTTTATCTATAATTATTTTATTATTATAATCTGTTGCTATTTATTTGATTTGAGAATTTTATTATAAGGTTGTTTGAATATATTTGAAAAATATTTTTTGATATGGTTTGTAAAATTTGTTGTAATATTTTTGAATTGGTTAAAAGTTTTGTTTCAAGTTCCCAGAACTATGTAGATGCTTTTTTGTTTGGTTTTTTAATAGGCTTGGTTATTTCTACTTATAGAAACAAGTATATATTATTTGTATTGAGGCATTGACCTAAGAAAAAAAATTGTTTTTTTTAATGTTATGCTTTGTGTTTAAAAAACTATTTGATACCCATTGTTTTCTTAATAATAATATTTATTTTCTTGGGGTGATGATATATGATATTGAAAAAGTAAAATTATATTCTAAATAAAAATGTAATATTGTATACTAAGCTTATGCCTCTGAAGAGAAATAGATTTATAAAAAATAGTGAAGTAAAGAGTTCTGTTAATTAATATATATTTTGAGTTTCTTGTGTTTGTATTTGGATTAGTTTTTTGACATGGTTTGAAGGATTCAGTTAATATAATAATGAATTATTTGTCGATTTCAAATATTAAAGAAACTGTATTTAATTGAATTGTAGATTGTATTGTTAAATGTTGTTTGCCAGGCCTATGCTTTTATTTGATGACTTTATTGAATTTACTACTAATTTTATTGCATGTATTAATAAATAATATTGTATCATTAAAAAGATAAATGACTTTAGAGATATAAATGTGATTAATAATATAGTGAAGTTGTTTGTCTATAATAATCTTCTTTTTTAAAATATAACTTGTTTTATCTGTTATTATATAAATATGACTTTTTTGATATTTTTTGTTTTTTTTGCCATTGTGCCAGACTTTCAGAACTCTAATTGCTTAATTTTCAGATAGGAAGTAAATGGTTTTATTTTTTATTGTATAAAAAACTGTTGTTATTTTTTGTTGATTGAAATAAGATATGATTTATCAATATTGATGTAAATATCATTAAATATGAAGAATTTATTACAAATATCATTGAGATTCTGAAGATTGGTTTTATTATTGCTGATGAGTGTGGTATTATCCATATATGCTATGTATGAGGTAGATTATATCAAAAGCTGGAAGGTTTCTTTAATATCTGTTTGTATGGATATTTGAATTATGTATCAAAAATAATTATCTGACATGTCCTCCACTTGACCACAAGAGCCCCTAGATTTGATAGTTAGTGACAACCAGTGAACCAAAACTAGAGCATTCACTAGGGAGTACATATCCATGTTAAGGCCCTTCTGCTATATTAGCTGCATGAGCAAAAAGGTGTGATATGATAAGCAATCTTAGAAAATAGTCAACAGTATCCACTGCCCTTACACAAAATTGGACTGGTAGGTTAGTTGGTTTAAACTAGTGATAGGATTTCCATCCCCTAGATAGGTTCCCTTAAAAAATATGAACCCACTTCATGAGTGTCATTAGTATCACTGGGGCAATAAGTAGATAGGCTAACATTTAACTGTTGTAATAACAATAGACAATGTTTTATGTAATGTAAAAATTGATCAATATTCAATAAAATCCTGCATCTAATGCCATTCTACTTTAAAAATAATTATAATTATAATAATTATCCAATGCATCTTATTCAAGCTCCAGGTTCATCAAAATGGGATTTAGCTCCAGCAATAGCAATTGGATTAGAAAGAGTTGAATCTATGATATTCACAAAATATAAGCGATCAGTCAGAAATAATGAAATAAAATTAAATAAGGGTGACACTGTTCGATATTTACTTGCTAACATCGAATGAGAGGGTGATATGGAAAATCAGAAATATGCGACAGATCCCATATTCAGTCCAAGTATTCATAAAATTCGAAAAATTGTTGTAACGAAGAATGAGCCTATTTTATATTACTTAGAAGGTGATGAGTTTACGCCAAAGCAGGAATTTGTGAAAGAGGAACTCTTATATGTTAATATTGATATACTTCAGTATCCTCCCCAGAGTATATTGGAAAAAAATACTCGTTTCAGATCTGTTAATTTCATTCGCATTGTCAATAAAATAACTAAGGCTGATGAATATGCTAAAAGTCGCGATAGCTAATGTTCTGGTAAAACTGGCCAAATAAATGGCTTCGATGTATATTTCTGGTCCTATGAAAACAGAAAACATCAATGGAAAGCACCTTATAAAATCCAGAAGCAAAAATTCAAATGGTGTCCAATTTGTTCCCATACTCGCAAGTGCAATTGTAAATACATATTTGAGGATCTACTAGGTAAGAAATTCCCACCATGTGCACCAAAGTTCTTGGAAGATTTACATTTGGATAGTTATAATGAGGAATTAAAACTAGCATAGGAGTACCAAGGATGTCAACATTATTATCAGAATGCAATGTTCCATAAGAAGGGGAGAATTGATTTGAATTTGCAAAGAATGCGTGATCAAAAAAAAAGATATATATGTACTGTTGTTCTCAATAATGAGTCTGTCGCTAATCTGGACCAAGACTCATATGATGTTGGAAGAGTGAGTCTATGTCGCTGGCAATACCAAAGGTACATGTGGTGATAATTATCCTTATCTTCCTCTTCTCTAGGTTGGTTCCTCTTCTAATCCTTTGCTGCCAAACTGCAGGGCTTGTGGATTCTTTCTAGGATGACTAGAGACAAATAAGATAAGTTTTTTAATTATCATTGCACTAGCACACAATGGGATTTTTATTAATTCATTTTTATTGTGCCTATTGCTGCTTATACATTATAATTGGAGATCGTTGCTATTTATACATGATTGCGACGCATCTCTAAATCTATCGTCGCGTTATGCAGAATTACCAAACTTTGACAAACTCTGCGCCCATCGGTCATGCATGATTGATGTATGATCAATCCCCCATGCGGTACCGCGCCGGGCCCACATGTTGCGTCATGCCCCCTACTACAATTTTTATGCTAACAGTACTCAGAAAGATATAGATCTGATCGAAGTGCCATATACAAGTGATTTATTTCCGTATATAAAAAGTGAATTACAAGAGAGAGAATATTTATCATATAAAAAATAAATATTGATTATCTTGGTTAAAATGAAAGATAAAGGCATGCCCATATTTGTATACAATATTGATGAGACATCTAACAAATCCTCAGAACGGATGAAAGGTAATATATATTCACCAGATGCCCCATTCAGATTGTTGGTTTGTGGGGGTCACATAGTGGGAAACCAAATATGATTATTAATCTCATGCTTGGTGATAAATTACAGCAAATGTTTAAAGGTAAGAACGGAAATCTTTATATCAAAAACGACGATCTCGTATTAGTAGGCAAGCATTTTGAACCGAAATGGCAACTTGTACAAAATAGCTTTCAGATCTTTGCGAATGCGCCTAAACCATATCGAGATGTCACATTTAAAAGGATATCTCCAGATAAATTCCAGATATAACTAAATTCTCCTCAGAGCGAAGTACAGTTGTTGTATTTGAGGATCTATGCGCCGAATCGAAAAAGGTGCAAGAACGAATTATTCCTTATTTCATTAGTGGTCGGCATCAAAATATCTCGCCAATATACAGTATGTATCACAGAAATATACACAAACACCTAAAAAATTATTCGTGAAAATTTAAGCCATCTTGCACTATTTAACAATGGGGGGGTCCCGAGATCTCATTCGAATTCTGCGTCAGTTTGTAAAAAAGCATCCAAAATTATTGACAAGCATCTACGAAATCGAAATTTTATAGTTTTGGATTTCACTAAACCAACTGATGATATTTTAAGTAAACGTCTTGGTTGGGATACTCCTTTAAATCTTTGAAATCCTATCCTATTCATTTAATTTCAAAGTATTTCTCGTCAATTTCTCCAAAACTATCGCTAAATGATGCTTGTGTTATTGCTGAATCACGTGGTGGGAAATGTCTTTCAACTGAATACAAAAGATAATAAAACTCCATTAATCTGGATCTGCTCTAAGAATCATACATGGAGCGCTCCACTTCGTAGAGTTAAAAGTTCTGAATCATGGTGCCTATATTGTGCAGGTACCGTAAAACTAACTCTCAAAAATATCAAACGAATCGCATTATCTAAACATGGAGAATGCCTTTCACCGAGTATAAAAATAATCAATTACCATTAATGTGGCGTTGTAAAGAAAATTATTTATGGTTGGCGATGTACAGTACAAAGTGGTAAATGGTGCCCATATTGCGCAGGTAATGTCCGACTTACTCTAGAAAATAGCACTCAACCGAAATGGCAAATGTCTTTCAACCACATAAAAATTCTGATACGCCAATGGCATGGAAATGTCACCAAGGTTATGTTTGGAATAGCAAAAAATGGAGATTGCCTTTCAGATCAATATTATGATTCGCAAACAAAATTGGAATGGATTGCATTATCTAGACACGGGAATGTCTTTCAGAGAAGTATATTAATAACCAATCACCATTATGGCAGGCATCTATTGGTAATGTAAAAAGTGGTACCTGGTGTCCATTTTGCTATAAATATAAACGTGAAGAATTATGTCGAGAAATTTTAACAAAGTACAGTATCTTGATCCACCATCTGAAAATCGCAGACCAAATTTCTTGAAAACGCCTGAGCATCCAATAGGTTTAGAACTCGATATTCCTTACTACCATTATGGTTTTGCGATTGAAGTACAAGGAGAACAGCACGAAAAATATATTAAATTCTTTCATAGCTGAGTCCCAATAAATTGATCAAACAACAAGAGCGTGATCGACTAAAGAAAGAATTGTGCGAAGAAAATTGGATTGGTTTAAGGTATGTTTGGTATTACGAGGACCCATATATTGTTATTTCAGAACATCTTCGAGAATTGGGTCTCATTGAGTAAACTTGAAACTTTAAATGCGTTTGCAATTTTGCGAATTAGGCATTTATTATTTTTTAGTGAAATATGAGAATTATGAGTTGTTTCGATATTGGATTCATACCCCATCTTTATCCATACAACTTCTAATCATTTATTGTAATATATAAGAAGAATTAAATGCTCGGTATACTAATGCAAGATAAGCAACTTAATTGTAATGCAAAAATTCATATTTCGCAATAATTAAAGAAATAAATGACTAGACCAATCTACTAAAATAATCTTGATGGAAAGATCAAAAGAGAATACTTTATCTATAGTATCCGCAGAAATAAGATCATTCATCTAGTTGAAGAAGGGAATTCGCATATGAGAGCCGGGAGGGTCTCTTCGGATCTTGCATCGTCAAAGGATTTTATTACGTTCTGAACTAACAACTAAATTTATATCAATATTCAAAGTTAGCGAATTTTTGATGCATACAACACAAAACTCTGCAATAACACTAACTGCCTATTTCAATATACATTCGTACCGAAAAATCCCGTGGTAAGTTGGCGTTATCAACCTCATTTAGTCGAAAATTTCCTAAATTGATATTGACAGTGAATATCAATTCTTCATAGTATAAATAAAAAAAGCATACGCACCACAGTAATCAAGATAATATAAATGAAGACGTAGTTGATAACTCTGTGCGCCAAATATGAACAGCCTCTTTGGTAACCGCCTACGATTTTTGATTACTTCTTTTACAATTTTTGAAAAAGATTTTTCAGATTGCGGACAATTTTTTCAGAGTTAGCGATTTCTTTATCTTGATTCGAAACTGGCTTGGAGTCTTCCACATATACAATTTGGAATTTATCAGCGTTGGTCATAAAACCAACGCCATCTGCATGGTCCTTATTAATATGGGTTTTCGAGGGAATTTCCCATACTCGTAATGTATTTTCGCTAAGTTCAATAAAGCACTATCTAGGCATGGATGTACAAACGCATTAAGGTGTGCTTGCTCGATTGTCGCAATGTTTTGAAGAGGGTTTTGGGCTCCAAGTAAACGCTTTCATGCTACTTAAAAAAAAATTGGTTAGAACAAAATTTGGAAAAATTAATTAATATGATGATAATGACTACATACAACTGTAGTAATGTACGACATAAAATTCATACTAGTGCAGTAATTAGATATAAGAATCCTAATGATTCTGTGTTCAATTCCATTCGATTCCAGCTCTTATAGTAAATTTAATAGGTGAATTATAATTCACTTATGTTTTTTATATATGCGAGTTCATGCAAGTCTATGCGATTTCAATTTTTGGAATCATAATTAGATAGTTTTGCTCTGAGGATCGTAAATCATCAACTTTAGTTTGCCAATCGTTATCAGAAATATTTTGAGAGAAGAATTCTACTAGGAATTGGTGCATATCATCGGGAATTAACGATTCTGTTATAGTGTCTATTTCTGATAGGTATGACTTTGTTATCGATCTTGGAAGCCTTTTGAAGAAAGATGAACATGGGCGAAGGTCAATCAAATCTCTATCAGAGTATTATTCCACATAAATTGAACAAATTTGATAATAAGTATTATTAATTCTATTAAAAAATTTTGTAAGAATTATCTTAAAAAAAACCAAAAAAAAAAATTTTCAAATATATAATACATCAGGAAATTTTTTTGGCGGAGATCTCCGGAGATCTTCGGGCGTAGACCTCCGGAGAAACTCCGTCGTCGTTAAAAGACTCCGGAGCAAAAAATTATATATTAACCTCC